CCCTTCTTGCCTGTAAGGTCTCTTTTGAGAAATCAGCTGACAGTCTGATTGGAACTCCTTTGTAGGTAATTGCCTCCCTTTCTCATGCTGCTTCTGGGATTCTCTCCTTCATTTTAATCTAGGCTAATGTAATTATGATGTGCCTTGGTGTGCTCCTCCTTGGGTCCAACTTCTTTGGGCCTCTCTGAGCTTCCTGGACTTCCTGGAGGTCTATGTCCTTTGCCAGATTGGAGAAGTTCTCCTTTATTATTTGTTCAAATAGCTTTTCCACTTGTTGCTCTTCCTCTTCTCCTTCTGGTACCCCTATAATTCGGATGTTGGAACGTTTAAAGATGTCCTGGAGGTTCCTAAGTCTCTCCTCATTTTTTTGAATTCTTTTTTCTTCATTCTTTTCTGGTTGGATGTTTCATTCTTCCTTCTGGTCCACATTGTTGATTTGAGTCCCAATTTCCTTCCCATTACTATTGGTTCTCTGTACACTTTTCTTTATTTCACTTAGGATATCCTTCATTTTTCCATCTAATTTGCAATCAAAGTCAACCAATTCTGTGAGCATCCTGATTATCAGTGTTTTGAACTGTGCATCTGATAGGTTGGCTATCTCTTCATTGCTTAGTTGTATTTTTTCCTGGAGCTGTGATCTGTTATTTTGTTTGGGCTTTTTTTTTTGTCTTGATGTGCTTATTAAGTAGTGAGGGGTGGAGCTTTAGGTATTCACCAGGGCAGAACCCACGTTGCTACATTGCTTCGTTGACGAATTGTGACACTGTTTGTGGGGAAGGGGTCTGAGCAGAAACAATGGCACTTGCTTTTCTTTCTGCGGGATTTCTATCACTTCCCCCTGTTCCTACCAGCAAATTTGGCCTTTCTGGGGCTGGTTCCCACGTGGATGGGTTTGTGTACATTCTAGGACCCTGTGGGTCTCTGCAGAGAACTTTCCTGTGAGGCTGGAAGTTTCTCCCATTGCTGCTTTAACCTCCACAGGTGTTTTCAATCAGTGGTTTGAGGCTTTATTTCTCCATGCTGGGGTCCTGGGTTGTGCAGACCATCTCACTCCCTAGTTGTTTCTCCTGGTTTATCTGTGCATAAATGTGGGACCTTCTGTTCCATCAGCCACTGCTGTGCTGGGTCTGCCAGCTGCTGCCTTGCCGACCAGCTGCAGTTTTGCGTGCCCCGCTCCACAATCCACTGCCTTGCTGGGTCCACCAGCCACCACCGTGCCCTCCTGGGTCCTCAAGGTGTGGCCTTGCTGTGAGTCCTCTCTGTCCATCTCCACCCCTCCTACTGGTCTGGATGAGTGTGTCTTCTTTAACGCCTTTGTTGTCAGACTTCCTTAGATTTCAAGTTTCTGTCAGTTCTGGTTGTTTTTTTGTTTTTAAATATTTGTCCTTCTTTTGGTTGTGCGAGAGGTACAGTGTGTCTACCTACACCTCCATCTTGGCCGGAAGTCCTCTACCTTCCTCTTAAATTTTTGTGAACCTAAAACTACTTTTTATAAAAAGGTCTAAGTAAATGTAAAGCAATCAGAATAATGCGTGGTATATTTTGGTTTGTCACATCTTGGAGTATGGTGCTATTTGCAGGTGGGAGCCAGTGATGTCACTACACGTTCTTTCACAACAAATACTTATTTGGTCCCAATTATCAATAGTGTTGAAGTTTTAGAAAACCTTCTGTAATGCTTCTAAGGCACCCTGGTATTTGACTGAGAAATGAGTAGCTAGAAAGGAGAGGAAAGGTGGATTGAGACATATGGCTTTCCAACATATGAAGTAAAGATTCTCAAGAAAGACATTGAGACTATGGAATGGACAGTGAGGTATAAGAACACCAGAGAATATGGTAGAATGGAAGACAAAATGCTGTTTGAAGAAGGTAGGAGGGAAATGAGCAATAATAATTCTATGGTGTCAGAATATTTTTCAAAGACTGTAGTTCATTTAACATCTACAATAAGCTTATAAAGTAGGTAGGTGTTTTTCCCATATTATATATAATGAAACTCAGGCATAGATCTACTATTGAAGTGCTGTTGAATGATCTGAGGTTTGACACTTGTATCTGGTAAAGTAGAGGCTGTTGCCTACTGTAATGAGAAAGGTTTCTGAGGAATGGAATGTCAGGGTAGACATCTGATTAGTGGGGCTTAAAGAGAAATCAAGAGTTGAGCAAACGGAGACAAAATACAGATGACTCTCTTCTTTCTTTCGTAAAGAAATAGTAGCTAAAGGACATGTGATCTAAAAAGTTTTTTTCCTTTCCCCTTTTTTTAAAGATTAAAGATTTATCAGTAGTTTGTTTTGCAGCTGGGAATAGTTCAGTACTGATCAAATAACTGATCATTTGGGAAGGTGATTAGGTAAAAGCAATGTGCCTGGAAAGAAGATGCTATCCAGCTCAGGCTGTGTACCTCAGTTGGTTAGATAATTGTCCCGATACACCAAGGTTGCAGCTTCAATCTCCAGTTAGAGAACATACAGGAATCAACCAATGAATGCATAAATGGTTGGAGCAACAAAATTGGTATTTTTCTTTTGAGGACCATCTTTTTCTTCCTATCTCTCTCTGTAATATCAATAAGTTTAAAAATAGATTTTGAATAGAAAAATATAGATGCTACCCAGTGGGTCGATATTAGAGAAGATTAATGGCAATTCATTCAATGTAACAGGAGGAAAGCCAGTGTATATGGCTACATATGGGGTTAGGTTGGTAGATTTGGTGCTTAGAGAATGAGGTAGTTTCATTTTGTCTTTTTCTTCAGTGAAATTAATAAAAGTTGGCAATACTAGATATGAGTGAGGTGGGAAGTGTTGGTCAGAGGGGAGAGAAAATATGTGAAATTGTTGCATAGGAAATTAAGCAAGAGAAATAACTTGGGGCTGAGGTCCTATCTGATATCTATAGCCATAAGTTTAAAGAGTGGTTGGAAAATTACTAAGGTGGGAGAAAGAAGGGAATGAAGAAGATGGGGGAGAGGGAGTTTATTTTGGCATGAGCTTTTTGGATCTGGGATTTTTGTTTAAGGAGAGAGGGGTAATGATGTCCAAGTTGCAAGAGAGCAAGGAGAATGTCCAGTGACACATGGGACATAGGAAAAAAAACATATCCACTTCTAGCGATAGCTACAGGGAAAGCAGTTTTCAGAGGAAAGCCATATTCCAGTTAGAGCAGGAAGGGAAAGACATGTTTAGAGGAGGGATTTTGCTGATGACAGAGAGTTAGTTTCTAAGGACTTTGGAGTGACTGAGCAGGATGGGAGAAATGGGTGAGTTTGAGGAACTTGTCAAACTGTCTAGAGTCTTAGTGATTAGAATTTTGGTGGTAACCAAGGTAGATAGGGATTAGTCCTGTGGTGTTTTATTTTTATTTCTTTGGACAATTTATTTTGTTTAAGATATAATTTAAATATTGTAACATTGGCCCTTTTAGTGCCCAAGTCTAATGAGTTTAGATAAATACATACAGTTGTATAGCCAACACCATAATCAATATATAGTTCCATTTTTCCAAAAATTTTCCGGTATCCTTGTGTAGTCAACCCCTCCCTGCCTCCCATCTCCTGGCAACCACTGATCTGTTTTCTGGAGTTACAGTTTTGCCTTTTCCAGAGTTATATATACAGAATGTAGCCTTCTGAGTCACATCGTTGCTATTATCAGTGTATTTTTTTAAATTTTATTTGTTGATTTTTAGAGAGAGAGAGAAAGAAATATTGATTTCTTGATTCAATTATTGATGCATTCAGTGGTTGATTCTTGTATGTGTCTTGACCAGGGATGGAACCCACAACCATGGTGTACTGGGATAATGCTCTAACCAACTGAGCTATCTGGCCAGGGCTGTATTAGTGGTAGTTATTTTTTTTAAGATTTTATTTATTTATTTTTAGAAGGAGGGGAAGGGAAGGAGAAAGAGTTAGAGAAACATCAATGTGTGGTTACCTCTCATGTGGCCCCCACTGGGGGCCTGGCCTGCAACCTAGGCATGTGCCCTGATTGGGAATCGAACCAGCGACCCTTTGGTTCGCAGCCTATGGTCAATCCACTGAGCTACACCAGCCAGGGCAGTAGTAGTTATTTTTTTATTGTGTAGTATATTCTATTATGTGACTCTACCACTGTTTATCCATTTACCAGTTGGATATTTGGGTTATTTCATTTTTTTTTGCTGATCATAACAAGCCCCTCAGTTTTTTTTCTTGCAGATAACACAAAAGCCCCTTTAAACATTTGCATATAGGTTTTTGTGTGAACACAAGTTTTTACTTCACTTGGCTAAATAGGAATGGGATTTCTGTTTTAAAGTCATCGTATACGTAACTTTATGGAAAACTGTTGGACTGTTTTGCAATGACTGTGAATTCATTTCTTAACATTCACTGAAGACTTACCACGTACCAGGAGCAGTACTGTACAGAATCGAATAGTTTGGGAGACACTGGTATGGCTCTCTTAAAATATTTGCCGTCAGGCCTCTTACAGAAAACATTTGTGGACTCTGGTCACAAGGTAGTACCATAGGAGTTCTGGGACTGGTTGTGTTACTTTCATAGGCACAGTTATTTAATAGAATTGGAGTGTCCTCCTAGGAAATATAATAAAAACCTTGCTCTTGAAACAGGCAAAACATATTTCTACTTGTTTCAATTGTTGGGAAATACGCTGTTACTAATGCCGTGTATAAAATGTGCAGATTTTAATTTTCCAGTCGTCTCTGAAAATTGAATTGGATATTTACACAGAATATCGTATTTTTAACACACAGCTGCACACATCGCACACTTTTCCCTGTATGTACAACCAAGAATTCCTGCTATTCTAGGAAGTTGGGGAACTATTTGTCTGAGCTGAACGGAGTCCCATAGAGGGAACACTGGTAATGTGCGCAGAAGCGCGCTAGCTCAGGTGCGCTGGCGCCAAGGCTGCGCAGGCGCACCAGCGTTAGCGTAGGGGCGGGGCTTGCCGTCTGTGTCCCTTCCAACTGCGGCTGGAGGCAGCGCCATTTTGAACGTGCAGTGGCTGCGGGCTGCTGGAGGGTAGGGTCGTGCTGCTGGCTTGGCCATCTCGCGGTTTTGTTTGGCTTTCTCCTTTCAAGTACCATCTCCATACAGAGGCACGGAGTCACAGACATATCTTTAGGGTTGGCTGTGGGCCTGAGGTGAAGCCCTCCGATGATGTTGAGGGGAAACCTGAAGCAAGTCCGAATTGAGAAAAACCCAGCCCGCCTGCGCGCTCTTGAATCGGCGGCCGGGGAGAGTGAGCCGGCGGCCGCCATGGCACTCGTGCTGGCAGGGGAGACCGCGCCACCCACTCCTGCTGCCGCCGAGGAGCGCCCGGATGAGGAGGTGGGCTTCACCATCGACATCAAGAGCTTCCTCAAGCCGGGCGAGAAGACGTACACGCAGCGCTGCCGCCTCTTCGTGGGCAACCTGCCTACCGATATCACGGAGGAGGACTTCAAGCGGCTCTTCGAGCGTTATGGCGAGCCTAGCGAGGTCTTCATCAACCGCGACCGTGGCTTCGGCTTCATCCGCCTGGTGAGTGTGGGGTGGAAGCGGGTTGTTGTCCTCTCCCAGCCAGCAGGTCGCCGGAGGTTTCCAGCAGCCTGCCTTGCTGGCGGTTAGCCCTGACCTGCTGGTTGTGGTCACCGATGCCGGCAACCTGCGGAGTGGCAGCGCCGAGTCCAGGTAAAACGGATTTGAAAGGAGAATGAATGGGAAAGGAATCGGGAACGGGAACTGCGGCCTTACCGGAAGTTTCATGGGGCACAAAGGCCTACCTGGCTGTCTTGCTTCTCACAAAATTACCCAAATCGTCACTTTGGCTTCCACCAGACCTTCAGATATTTAATGGTAATCCCCGTTCCTCACCGTGCCTCACCTCAGTGCAATCTGCATTTACCGTACATTCCGCAGTGTTGAGACTCTGCTGAATTTATTACCTAGTATGATGTGTCCCCACCAACATTTGGGAAGTTTCCACATTTTGGATTTACATACTATTTTAATACTTACACACTTTACTAGCACATTATATATCTTTTCTCATTTTTAATTTAAATCGTAGTTACTCAATGGGATACAGAGTATGTGCTTTCTCTCTATATTTTTTAAAGAGTCTGAACGGTGAGGGTTTACACTTAAGGACACAGTATCATCTATCTACTTGGTGTTCCTAAGTGCTTTCTGGTGAATTCCATCAGTGTCAGTTTTATAGCACTGTTGTAATTCGTATTTAGATGCTGGATTCCCCCCCCCCCCAAGTATCTTTCTTTGGAGGGAGGCTTTTTTACACAAGTAAATAGGTGTGTTGTCTTGTTTGACCCTCAGATTTTACCGTCATGGTAGTTTGTGGAAGCTTTCCTATTGGAACTTTAGCATTTATTTTATTATATGTTTTTTAAGATCTTATTTATATTTAGAGAGAGGGGAAGGGAGGGAGAAAGAAAGGGAGAGAAACATCAATGTGTGGTTGCCTCACACGACCCCAATGGGGATCTGGCCAGCAACCCAGGCCTGTGCCCTGATTGGGAATTGGATCAGCAACCCTTTGGTTTACAGATCGGTACTCAGTCCACTGAGCCACACCAGCTAGAGAGGAACTTTAGCTTTTAATACTGCGTTCTCTCAGTGCATGGTGAAGAGAAAATTTTATTATATAGAGAAAATTGATTGCGATTAAATGACACTACTTTTTAGGAAGGACATTTGAACATCTAAACGGCCTTAAGAGAAGGGGAAATCTTAATAGGGTAGTAATGAGACATGGACATTTCTCATTTCTCACATGGAAATGAGACTGGTGCATTTTCAACATAAATTTATTAATACTTAATTGTGTTTTTTAAAAATAACATTTAATTTTTACTGTTGTTCCAGGACAGTTTTCTGTCTTATCCCCCACTCCTCCAGTGCTCCCCCCTTCCTTCCCCTCACTTAATTATGTTTTGGACGTCAGAGAAGCTGCCTGTCACTTGGTAAAAATTGTTTTTAATATGTGTGTGTTCAGAAGTTGTCTTAAAAGTATGTGTTCAGAAGTTTTCTTAAAATGAAGTTAGGTTTCTACACAAAATATAATTGACAACTGCTTTTTAAAAGATTTTATTTATCTTTAGAGGGGAAGGGAAGGAGAGGAGAGAAATATCAATGTATGGTTGCCTCTTGTGAGTCCCCTGCTACCCAGGCATGTGCCCTGACTGGGAATCGAACCGCGATCATGTGGTTCACAGGCCCGCACTCAATCCACTGAGCTATACCAGCCAGGGCATCATTGACTACTTTTATTAAACTTTTCCCAAAAGATGGTATTTAACATTTTTGAAATCTTTAGTCTCTGGCATCATCTTAGTCTATGCTGAAGTCTTATAGGGCTGGAAGACTTATAGGGCTGCATTTCCCTCTTTTGGAAGTCCTTACACTTGAAAATAAGCCAGTAGACACTTTATTGACATGGGAAAATCTTTTTCTTTCTTCTCTTTAATAATCCTTTATTAAAGCTGTGCAACAGAACTGTCTGCAATGATAGGAATGCTGTGTATCTGCCTGTGTAATATAGTAGCTGCCAGACATGTGATTGTTGACTAATGAAAATAAGGCTATTGTGACTGAGGGTTTGAATTTTAGATTTTATTTAATATTTTATTTATCTTTCTTTTTCCAATTATTTATTTATTTTCTACATTTAAAAAAAATTATTGTTTTCTTATTTTTGAAGAGAGAGGAGGGAGGGAGGGCGAAGGGAGGGAGAGAAAGCTCCGTGAGAGAGAAAACATGGATCAATTGCTTTTTGTATGCTTCCTCGATTTAGACTGAACCCACAACCAGGCAGGTGCTCTGACCTGGAGTCTAGTGCCCTTTCCCTTCGTGGAGTTACGCCCAACCACCTGAGCCACACCAGTCAGGGCTAAATTTTATATATACTTAAATAGACACATGTGGCCAGTGGCTACTACATTGGATAGGAGAGTTCATTGCTTTCCTTTCTTAAAAAAAAAAAATCCATGGGATTATGAAATAGGGAGGTGAGAAGGGCTGCTGTTATCTTGTGTCTTTTGCATATGTTCCTCCAAACCTATGACTCTAAATTTTTGTGTAAGAATGTTAAAATTTTTTCAGCTGGAAATTGCAGTTTGGTGTACAAAATTTGGCTGTTGGGGTTAATTTTACTGTTTAACCTGAGCTCTGTGGTGCATAGGTAAATTTAAAAGGTTTATATATATTTGAGCCATTATGTATTTTTTTCTGTTTAGGAAAAATCATAGAGTATATTCCTGATTCGAATTTAAGTAATGGCTGTAGTGTGTGTATAGGGGTGGCGTAGTAGCTCTGAAATAGTCATAGTTTTATCTGATTTATATTTCTGGAAGTACTTTTTATGCCCTGGCTGGTGTGACTCTGGATTGAGTGCTGGCCTGTGAACCAACGGGTAGCTGGTTCAATTCCTAGTCAGGGCACATGCCTGGGTTGCAGGCCAGGTTTCCAGTAGGGAATGTGGGAGAGACAACCACACATTGATGTTTCTCTCCCTTTCTTTCTCCCTTCCCCTCTTTCTAAAAATAAATAAAAGAAATCTTTACAAAAAAGGAAATTCTCTTTACTCAATTTTAAGTGCAAATAAGTTTTCTTGGAAAGGTAGTTATAGTTTGGGAGTTAATTGATGAGGTCAGACACATTTTTGAGGTGCTATAGGGTCAGCTTATTACACGTATGTAATGGTAGGGAAAAGAATTAAAAAGTGTATTTATTGATTTATGATAGGGAGGGAGGGAAAGAAGGAAAGAAACACCAGTTTGTTCCATTTATTTATGCATTCACTGGTTGCTACTTGTTTCTTCCGGGACCAGGGTTTGCAACCTTGGTGTATTGTGATGATGGTCTAACCAACTGAACTACCTGGCCAGGGCACGGAAAAGAATTTAAGTGGCATTTCCTTCTGGTGACATCCTAATCCATAGTGTGAGGCTCTGGTACATTAGGGATGAAACAGACTATTTGTATTTTGGACACATTTTTGTGGAATTTTAGACTCAATAGCTTCTTTTTATGTTTTGACTGGTTACTGTCAATTTAGATTGGATAAATTAACTCAAAAGTTGTAGTGCATTTTAAAGGTAGTTTAATGTAGTTAAAGATAGTATTTTTCCTCGACTTGGTTTCTGCTTTTATTACCCCATCTCCTATTTTTATCTTTAGTAATCTAGATTTCTGAAGCCGTGATTCACAGAACTGTTGGCCCTGCCCAATTGCTTCACATCTCTTCCTAGTGTAAGCAGAAGGCCACTTAATTTATTTCTCCTACTGTTCATGCTAGCAATGCTTACCTTATACTTTCTCAAAAATTGTCTCACCTCAACAATCAGTTAACTGGAAATTTGTTAGAAATGCAAATTCCAGGGTTCCTTTGTAGATCTACTAAGTCAAAATTTTGGGCTTGGGGTCCAGCAATTTCTAGTGTTGTTCTGATGGTAAAGTTTGAGAACCATTTTTCTAATTAAAGAATTAGAAATCAACTGGATTTACTTTTACTTATTTGTAAGGGACTTAATCACCTCCCCTTGTGCTTTACATTTAAAAAAAATATTTTATTTATTTATTTTCAGCAAGAAGGAAAGCAGGGGGAAAGAGAGGGAGAGAAACCTTGGTTGGTTTGCATGCCCCCAAGGAAACATTGGTGGGTTGCCCCTTGCACGCCCCCAGCCTTATACCTGCAAACCAGTGACCTTTGAGTCTGCAGGCTGGCGCCCAATCCATTGAGCCACACCAGCCAGGGCTTAGTTTTGGTTGTGAAATAATGTATGCTTCTAACAGAATGTTCAGATATTCATTAGAGAAGACAATGCAAAAGGTAGTTAGTGGGAGTGTTCAGCATATGATTTCAAGTCATCTTTTATTTCAGGGAAATTCTCTTAATTACAGCTTACACTAGTGAAAGAAAGATCTTTCCTTTCTGAATACACTTACTAAACATGATTACTGTTAACCTTTGTATATTTTTTCCTAAAAATAAAGCCATACTATATACATTATATTGTGATTTTGAGTTTTTCATGTATTATATCTTTGACATGTTTTTGTTTCACTAGATTTTTTTTTAATATATTTTATTTCTTTTAGATGGGTCAAGGGTTGAAGGGACGGAGAAAAAGGGAGTGAAACATCAATGTGTGGTTGCCTCTCATGTGCTCCCTACTGGAGACCTGACCTGGCCAGCAACCCAGGCCTGTGCCCTGACTGGGAATGGAACTATTGACCCTTTGGTTCAAGCCACACCAGTCAGGGCATCATTAGATTCTTTTTAATGACATTATTTCTGCAAGTTATTTCATCAACTTTCTATTGATCAGTTTAGAGGCTGTTTCCATTTTGCATCAGTAGATTTCCTTATAGTTATTAGTACTCTTGCAGTGGGGAATTTTAACCACTAATAAACAGTGAGAGAAAAGATCATGTGCTTTGGAAAAAGCCTTCAGAAAGGGTCTTGTGGTAATACTTAGACCCTAGTTCAGGGGTGTCCAACCTTTTGGTGTCTCTGGGCCACACAGGAAGAATTGTTATCTTGGGCCACACATTAAACACACCAACACTAATGAAAACTCATGAGCAAAGAAAAGGTCTGTGCATAATTTTTTGGGTGTCCATCACCACAGGTAAGCAAAAGAGTCCTCACATAGTAACCCTAATTACACAGTAGCCCCTTTGATGATCTTTTAAAATAATTGCACACCTGACTGATGTGGCCCAGTGGGTTAGGGACTCATCCTGTGAACCTAAAATTGTTGAGCAGGTCCCAAGTTTGTGATCACTAATATGGAAAATGTACATTTCTAGGTAATAAAAGTAAGTAGTGTCTTCAGTAAATGGATTGGACACCCCCTGGCCTGGTTTAAGCAGTCTCTATCTTGGGTAGTCACTTAGTTTCTTGTATTTATTTTATTTTTTTTTCTATTGCTTTCAGTTAAGAACCTGTAGTTTTACTTTTTATTTAGAGTGGTGGCAGGGATACCAGCTGGAAGGTGGAATCTATGGTATATTGGTGGTGATTGTGACTTGTGTATAGATTCAAGTCAGCATTTGCAGTGTGCAAAACAACTTCGTAAGACTGGTGGCAAGGATAATGAAAAAGAATATATGTGTGTGTTGTGATGAGTAGCTGGCATATAGTGTAACTACTTGGTTACATATATTTTTAATTGATTACATGTGCTTCAATACACATTTAGAGCAGTGGTTCCCAAATGGGGTAGTTATGCTTCCTTCCCATGGGACATTTAGCAGTGTCAAGAGACATATTTGGTAGTCAAAAATGGGTTTGGTTCTACCGACATAAACATCCTATGATGCACAGAACAGTGCCCATACAACAAGAATTATCTTGCCCGTGATATCATTGGTGCTCAGGCTAAAAAACTGTGATGTTAGAACCATTTAAAATCATGAGCAATATAAAAACTTTATTAAAAAAGATTTTATTTGTTTTTAGACAGAAGAGAAGGGAGGGAGAAAGCGAGGGAGAGAAACATCAATGTGTGGTTGACTTTTGTGCACCCCCCACTGGGGACCTTGCCTGAAACCCAGGCATGTGACCCTGACTGGGAATTGAAGTGGTAGCCCTTTGGTTCGCAGGTTGGTGCTCAGTCCACTGAGCCACACTAGCCTGGGCTAAACTTTTAAATAAAAGGATTATGACACTGAAAATTCCTGACAGTGTAAACACATTCCTTGGGCTAAAAATTGAACTCATTTCTAACAGTAAAAAATTACTTGATTTAACAGACATTGAGGTTTCTTGCTTTCCCTGGGGGGAAAAATGGCACTGTGAATGTATTTGAATCTGACAATGTGATTTGTGCTAGAAACACTCTACAGTTTTATCACATCCTCACTAAGCTCTCTATCCTCTTGTCCCCAAACATTTTGTTGCAGATTATATGGTTATATATGCAAACATATATAATCATATATGTATATATGCATAACCTACCCCCTTGTTTCTACAGTTAAATGTTGCTGTATATGTTTTTTATTTTTTCACATATCTGTTCGTCTCTCCCATCATTCATCAGTTTATGACTCTTAAAAACTCTGGCATGTTTTAAACCTAAAGTCTAATAGTATTTTTTGAGGTATTTGAAATCTACATACAATAAAAATTTCAACTTTTAACGTGTGATTTGGTGATTTTAGACAATTACATCAGTCTGTTGATCTCAAACTCTTACCAAGCTACAGAACACTATTATCATTCCATGAAATTTGCTCATGTCCCTTCCCATTCCCAATAATGCCTGATGGCATTTTAATTCAAGACTCCATTCCTAAAATCTATGTCTCAGTTGTTGGATTATTACATACTAGGTATATAGTACCTATTTCTTGTTGGATACTCATTAAATATTTGCTAGGACTACTGCTATTAAGAGTAGAAACCAGTGGCCATTTTGAATATCTGCAAAAAGGTTAGATTCATTTTTCTTTGTAATATTTTGTAGATAGATTTTTGTATAAGTGCAGTATTTTAAAGCCTTATGAACATTTTAGGGATTGGATAAAGAGCTTCTGTGATTTTAAAGCTTTTTTCATAAGATATTTTTCATAAGATAATACATATTTGTATTCTTAAAAATGCACGTAAAACCTCTATTAAGTCTGGACAGTTCTTACAACACAAAGAAAAACATCTGTGTTACTATATTTAGCAGTTTGTTGTTTATTGTTTTAGATATCTATATTCTATACCAGCTTTGAATTCTTCAAGAAGGAACATCTCTTATGTTAGGCTTTCATCAATGAAGGAATTTTCTAGTTTATATAAGTGCATGTGCATTTGTTCCTGTATGAAATGGAGAGAACTCTTACAGCTCCTGAGTATGTGTGTGTGTGCACTTCTCAAATGTAATGGTGAGAAATATGTAGCCGTGAAAGTATTTTTGGAAAAGTGATGAACAATACCTGCTAGTAGTTTTCACAGTTAGCATGAAAGAGAAGTGGAAATAAAAAGGTAAAGATGATTTTCTGACACTGGAGAGGTGATATATTTTATTAAGATATAAATAGCCCTGGCCAGGTAGGGCAGTTGGTTAGAGCCTTGTCCCAGTACAACCAGGTTGCAAATTTGATCCCTTGTCAGGCACATAGAAGAATGAACCAACAAATGTGTCAATAAGTGGAACATCTATTCCTTGTTTTTCTTTCTCTTTCTCCCCATTCTTCCCATTCCTCTCTTTCTTCCTTTCTCTCTGAAGTCAATTTTTAAAAAAGATAAATAAATATTAAAAACTTGGAGTGGATAGAGAATTTTGTTTTCAACAATAGTGTCTAGTAACTGGTACTTGGTCTTGAAAAATAATTAGGTATTTTAATTTTTGATTTAAATTTTTTTTACTTTTTAAAAATTTTTATTTATTTATCTTTAGAAGGGAAGGGAAGGAGAGAAGGAGAGAAATATCAATGTATGGTTGCTTCTGGTACATCCCCTGCTGGGAACTGGTCCCTGCTGGGAACTGGTCCCTGCTGGGAACTGGCCTGCAACCCAGGCATGTGGGGAATCGAACCTCGATCTTTTGGTTCGCAGGCCCATGCTCAATCCACTGAGCTGCACCAGCCGGGGCTTGATTTAATTTTTATTGTATTTTTTCCATTACTATTTAGTCCTCTTATACCGCTTTCTCCCTATGTATTTCTTTTGGTATATGTAGGGTATTTTTGAAAAAGATTTTGTTTGAATATTTAATTGTTTGTAATTTATGAGCTGATAATCTTTTAAGTGATGACTTTTTAAAAATCCTTACCTGAGAATGTTTTTTATTTTTATTTTTTTAAACACTTCTTTTTAAATTATTTTAAATTTTTAAATATATTTTATTGATTATGCCATTACAGTTGTCCCATTTCCCCCCTTCATGAGAGAATTTTTTTAAAGATTTTATTTATTTTTAGCCAGGGGAAGGGAGGGAGGAATAGAGGGAGAGAAACATCAAGGTGTGATTGCCACTTGCACGCCCTCAGCTGGGGACCTTGCCTGCAACTCAAGCATGTGCCCTGATTGGGAATCTAACCAGTGACCCTTTGGTCTGCAGGCTGGCGCACAATCCACTGAGCCACACCAGCCAGAGGTTTTTTTTTAAACTAATTTTCAGAGGAGACAAACATCAATTGGTTACCTCCTGTAGGAATCCTGACAGGGCACAGAACCTGCAGCCTAGTTTTTTGCTTGGGTTTGGGATTGAACCTGCAATCGGGTGCATCAGCCAGCTCTCCAACCAACTGAGCCGTTTGGCCAGGACAAAAGTGATGGCTTTTAATAGGACATTGATGTTGGGACTTTGTACTCAGAATGTTTAAAATCATATCAAATAATTAATAAAATGCATGTTATACTAAAATTGAAAGACACAAAAACAAATTAATCCTATCAGTCATTTTCTAGTTACCCAGCTCACTAGCTAGTCTCCCTAGAAATAAACTATTGTTTACAATTTTTCTATTTCTATCATCTTTAAAAAGTAATTTTTTCCTCCTAAAAAAGGAATCCAGAACGCTGGCTGAAATTGCAAAAGCAGAGCTTGATGGCACCATTTTGAAGAGCAGACCTCTCCGAATTCGTTTTGCTACACATGGAGCAGCTCTAACTGTCAAGAACCTTTCTCCAGTTGTTTCCAATGAGCTTCTAGAGCAAGCATTTTCCCAATTTGGTCCAGTAGAGAAAGCTGTTGTGGTTGTGGATGATCGTGGTAGAGCTACAGGAAAAGGTTTTGTAGAATTTGCGGCGAAACCTCCTGCACGAAAGGCTCTGGAAAGATGTGGTGATGGAGCGTTCTTGCTAACAACGTAAGTTGTAAACATTTTGTCATTTTCCTAGGCAGTCACATACTGGTTTCTCTCTGTTCTGAACTTGTCTTTCCTTGTAGTTCATACTGTCGTAGCATATGGTAAGTAGATGTTGAGTAAATACTCAGTGAATATAAATAAGGAACTTTTGTCTACCTCTGGGAATCAGGGTCATATTTTCTTCCAACAGGGGTTTGTTGATTCATACTTGTATCTCAGGAATGTTTCATGTTAGGATTTTAATTTAATTTTCTGAACTTCTATTATATGCAAAGCAAAGTTGTATACAGAAATACAGGAGATACTGTGGGTTAAATTCCAGACCATTACAATAAAGCAAATGTGGTGATAAAGCAAGTCACATGAAATATATTGGTTTTTTAGTGCATGTAAAAATTACGTTTATACTATATTGTAGTCTTAAGTGTACAGTAGTATTATGTCTAGAAAATGTACATACTCATTAAAAGATACTTTCTTGCTTAAAAAGCAAAAACTGTTGGAGAAATGGTGCTGATGTATTACCCAATATAGGGTTGCTACCAACTTTCAATTTGTAAAAAACATAGTATCTGTGAAGTACAATAAAACAAGGTATGTCTTTATTTAAATAATGAATAAATGATATTTTAATTAACTTTATTAATGTATAATTTACATGTATATTTTCAAATATTTTATTTATTTTTAGAGAGAGGGGAAAGGAGGGAGAAAGAGAGGGACAATCAGTGTGTGGTTGCCTCTCAGGTGGCCCACAGTGGAGACCTGGCCTGCAACCTAGGCCTGTGGCCTGTCTCGGAATGGAACTGGCAACCCTTTGGTTCACAGCCTGCACTCAGTCTACTGGAGCTATGCCAGCCGGGGTGATAATTTACATATATTAAAATGTACCTGATTTTATTTTATTTTACTTTTTAAAGATTTTATTTATTTATCTTTAGAGGGCAAGGGAAGGAGACAGGGAGAGAAATATCAATATATGATTGCCTCCTGCGCTACCCTGCTGGGACCTGGCCCGCGCAGCCCAGGCATGTGCCCCGACTGGGAATCGAACTGCCATTCTTTGGTTCACAGGCCCGCACTCAATCCACTAAGCTACACCAGCCAGGGCTAATTTTTATTTTTAGAGAGAAGGGAAGGGAGGGAGAGAAACACCAATGTGCTTAGAGACACATCGATTGGTTGCCTCCTGCACATTTGCGACCAGGAACCTGGCCTACAACTCAGGCATGTGCCATGACTGGGAATTGAACCAGCAGCCTTTCGGTTTATAGTCTGGTATTCAATCCACTGAGCTACACCAGCCAGGGCATGTATTTTCTAACATTTTATATAAATGAAATCATATAGTATATACTCTTTTGTGTCTGATTTATTTTGCTTATCATGTCATTAGATTCATATTTTCCTTTTAAAAATTTTTTTTTAATTTTGATTGTCGAGAGAGGGGAAGGGAAGGAGAAAGAAAGGGAGAAACATTGATGTTGCCACTGAAGACATGTATGCCCTGACTGGATATTGAGCTGGTGACCTTTTGGTTCATGAGCTAATACCCAACCAACTGAGCATCACTACCCAGACTCAGTTTTGTTCCTTTTTATGACTGAGTTGTATTCCATTGTAGGTCATAACCACGGTGACCTTTGGGTAGACATCTGAGGTCATTCCAGCTATTGACTGTTGTGTAGAAGTCTTCCTGTGAACATTATGCTTTCATGGGTCTTGAATAATATTTAGGAGTAAATGGCTGTATATTCAAGTTTATAAGAAACTGCCAAGCTCTTCCAAAATAGTTATACCATTTAACACTCCCACCAGCACTGAATGAGAAAGTTCTAGTTGCTCCATCCTTACCAACACTTGAGAGTCTTCATCTTTTTTTTTTTTGTGACAGAGAAAAGGAGTCTTTATCTTTTACGTATTCTGAGTATAGGTGTGTCTGTTGTGGTTTAAATTTTATATTCCTACCCTGGCTGGGTGGCTCTGTTGGTTGGAACATTGTCCTGTGTACCAAAAGGTTCCAGGTTTGATCCCTGGTCAGAGCACATACTTAGATTGCAGGTTTGATTCCTAGTGGGGTTATGTACAGAGGCAACCGATCAGTGTTTCTTTCTCACATCCATGTCTGTTTATCTTTCTCCCTCTCCCTCTCTTCTTTTGTTTTTCCCTACCCTCTCCCCTGAAATCCATAAACATCCTTGGGTGAGGGTTAAAATAAAAAGATACATTAAACAAATTTTATATTCCTAGCAACTAATAATGAACATTTTTTCATATGCTTTTTAGCTATTTTTGTATTTTTTGTAAAGTGTGTTGACAGTTTTTGTCTATTTTTTCATTGGGTGGTTTGTCTTACCACGTTAACCAATAATGAGTACAGGTGTATATTAGGACTATTTCTCCTAGTCTGTGGCTTTTTAATTTTCTTTATTAGTGTACTATAAAGAACAAGTTTTTACGTTTTATGAAGTCTAATAATTTATTTTTTTGTTTTATGATTTGTGCTTTTTGTATCCTTGTATGAAATCATTGCCATTCCTAAGGTAGTAAATCACTTCTCATGTTTAGTTGAGAAAGTTAAAAAAAATTTGTTTTTATTGATTCTAGAGAGAGGATAAGGGAGGGAGAAAGAGAGGGACAGAAACATTGATATGAAAGAAACATTGATAAGTTGCCTGCTGCACGTGTCCCAACTGGGGATTGATTCCATGCATGTGCCCTGACCCAGAATTGAATCTGTGACCTTTGTAGTATGATGCCCAACCAACTGAGCCACACTGGCCAGGGTTCTTAAGAAGTTTTATAGCTTTTTAATTTGTACCTGTTATCCCATGTTGAGTGTGATATAAGGTGATAATTCAGTTTTTTTCCATATAGGTATCTAGTTGTTTTAATACCATTAATTGAAAAAAAGCCGCCTCCTTTGTTACTTTTTATCTTTATTAAACATCTGGGAAAAACATCTGCACTGTTTCCTTGATCAGTATATTTTTATACCTGTATTGTATTTTCTTTAGCCTGAGCTTTGAAATTGGGTGGTATCATCCCACTTTATTCTGTTTTCAAATTGTTCTGGTTATTTTTCATTTTTTAAAAGGTTTCATTTATTTCTTTGTAGAGAGGGGAGGGAGGGGGAGAGAGAAACATCAATGTGTGTGAAACACGGATTGGTTGCCTTTCACACTCCCTCTCCCACCCTCCAGCCTGGGATGGCCCACAACACAGGCATGTGTCTTGACTGGCACTCAATTCACTGAGCTACATTATCAGCCAGGGCAATTTTTTATTTTTTAAAAAATATTTTATTTATTTTAGGAAGAGGGGAAGGGAGGAAGAAGGAGAGGGAGAGAAATATCCATGTGTGGATACCTCTTGTGTTCCCCCAACTGGGGACCTAACCTGCAACCCAGGTACTTGCCCTGACTGGGAATTGAACCTGCGACCCTTTGGTTTGCAGGCCCATGCTCAATGCACTGAGCCACACCAGCCATGGCAAACCTTACTGATTTTAAAATTAGTCTTCCTGGCTGATATGGCTCAGTGGATTGACCTTCGGCCTGAGAACTAAAAGGTTGCCGGTTTGATCCCCATCAGGGCATGTGTCTGGGTTGCAGACCAGGTTCCCAGGTGGGGGCATGCAAGAGGCAACAGAATGTTTCTCACATTGATGTTTCTTTCCCTCTCTTTCTCCCTTCCTTCCCCTTTCTCTAAAAAAATAAATCATTAAAAAAAATAAAATCAGTTTGTCAGTTAAAAAAAACATTCTACTGGGCTTTTGATTTGGAATTGCATTGATTCTGCAGCTCATTTGGGGAAAACTGACACCTTCACAATATTGACTTTTATCAATCCATGAACATAGTATATCCATTTACTTAAAAATATTATGTAATTAAAAGTCATTAAACCTGTTGTCATGTTAACTTAACATGCCTTTCCTTTCAGTTTGCCCATGAAGAAGTTTTTGATGTTCATCCTTAGTCTTCTACTGGATTTGGAGTGAAAACTTTGTTTTGATTTTTACATTGATTCCTTTCTTCTCTGAAACAGCGCCCACCTCTGGCACTTACTTTGTTATTAGTTGGGATCATTCAACTGTTTAGGGCTTGGGGAATTTAGATATAAAGACAGTTTTTTTTTTAAAAATTGCTTCTTGGCCTACCTGCTTAGTTGGTGATTTGTAGGACATTTTTCAATTTGTTGCAGATAGTTAAGCATTGTCTAAGCAGTGCCATGTCTCCTGTTTTACATCACTGCCAACTTGTTTTCTTTGAGTCTTTGGTCTTGTTTCCTTTGCTTAAAGAATTTTCTCCAAATCATGACAGGCCTTGCTCTCATATTTTGCTAAGGTGTTATTTCCTCAGAGAAGCTGACTGTTTTATATTGAACCAAGCATTCCGTCTGCGATCAGTCTTGCTTTACTTTCCAATTTATTTTTCTTAGAGCACTTACTGTTTTAATTTGTATGTCTTTCTCTGCAGTAGAATGTAAGTTCCATTAGGCCAGGGCCTCAGTGTAGTTCAACACTATAATCCCAGCACCTGAATTCTTTTATATTTTTAAGATTGTATTTATTTAAAAGAGGAGGGGAAGGGAGGGAGAAAGAGAGGGAGAGAAACATCAGTTGCTTGCCTCTCCTAGGCCCCCAACTGAGGACCTGGCCTGTCACCCAGGCATGTGCCCTAAGAGGAATCAAACCAGTGACCTTAACTCTTTACAGGACGATGCCCACCCAACTGAGCCATATAAGTCATGGCCCAGCACCTATATTCTAGTAATTCCTGTCCACATAGTAAATTTATAATAATTATTAAATGAATGAATGAGGGAAAGATTGAAAACAATAGGCAAGGTGTGTGAGTAAATTTTTTATTTCTAATTCTACTTTGGTTGATTGGTGTTTTTTAAAGTTATAGCTAGGTATTAGTTAATATTTAACTGTTTCTTACAGGTAGCTTTTAGAGTAATTTAAAAATACATTTATCAATTTGAGAGAGAGAGAGACACTCATTTGTTATTCCATTCATTCTTGCATTTATTGATTGATTCCTATATGTGCTCTGACTGGGGATTGAACTTGCAACCCTGGCATGTCAGGACAATCCTCCAACTAATTCAGCTACCTTTTGGCCAGCTACCTATAGTCAAAAACAATTTTAATGGAATAGGAAAGTTGTTGAATATGTATTTTTAAGATTTTATTTATTTATTTATTTATTTATTTAGAGAGAGGGATGGTAGGGAGAAAGAGAGGGAGAGAAATGTTACTTGGTTCCCTCTTGCATGCATCTCAGCTAGGGACTGTGTCTGCAACCAAGGCATGTGCCCTAACCGGGAATTGAACTGGTGATCTTCTGTTTTGCAGGAGAAAGCCCAACCAACTGAGCCAGATGGCCAGGTTGGTGTTGAATATTTTATTGTCTTCACATATTTCATAATCATGATCTCAGGTTTCCACAACCCTGGTTATTATTTGTTTCATGTGTCAGGAACAAATTGTGTCCGTGTGTCTGTGAAAATTAGCCCAGAGATGTTAAGTAATTTGCTTAAGATTGCATAGCTAGTAAATAGTGACATTTAGTTGGAAGCTAAATCCTTTTTATGTTGTGGTACAGGTGTAGTGGTTTATTCTTTCTGTAGAGTCTGTGCTCAGGGACTTCGTTAAACTTTCTCATGGAGCTCAAGATGCTCTTTTCCTTGCTGTTTGATTAGAGGGTTTCAGCTGAAATGTCACTTCATGGAAAGGAGTTCCTGAATGCCTTATCTAAAGTGGGCTCCCTCTGTTATTCTTTCTGATGTTTCTTAAAATAATCATTTTGTTTACTTTTTTTTGTCTCAGAAGACTTCAGGGATTATCTTGTTTACTCTTGTATTCCTGACCCCAAATAAAGTGTTTATACTTAATTAAGTAATCAAATATTTATTGATGGACTGACTGAACATCAAGAGATCTGTGATAATTCAAGTGATTTATAGGTTTGGTATCATAGGGATTTAGTTTCTAAATGTAGATCTTGTGTAATCAAAATTTGTCTTTAAAACTCCTTTAAATTGTCATAAAATACTGTATATTACACATAGATTATATAGTTGTGCAGTATATATAATTATTAACATTGTAAAAGTACTTGTAAATTATATATTAATACAGTTTTGAAATTACAAGTGGTGGAAAATGGGAGGGTTAAAAACTTTTATCTCAGTTGATAATGGTGCACCTACATTGTTAAGCATTAGAATTACAACTAGACCATTATCAGAGGTGCTCATGCCCTAGATCTGCGCAGGCGTGGTAGGCGCTCAGTAGTTCAGTTCTTCTTGCTCTAGCTTTTTTTGTTTTTAAAGATATTGCAGGTTTAAGTCAAATGAAAATACAAGGTAGGGCAAAAGTAGGTTATAGTTGTTCATATGGAAAATATGATAAGAAAGAAATAACAAGAATAAACTTGTATATCAAGTACTTACCTGAGGGCCTGTTTTTTTTTTTTAAATTTTTAAAAGATTTTATTTATTTATCTTTAGAGGGGAAGGGAAGGAGAGGGAGAGAAATATCAGTGTATGGTTGCCTTTCATGCGTCCCCCGCTGGGAACTAACTGGCCTGCAACCCAGGCATGTGCCCTGGCTGGGAATTGAACCAGGGACGCTTTGCTTCGCAGTCCAATGCTCAAGTCACTGAGCCACATCAGCCAGAGCTCTTTTTTTAAAAAATCTATTGGTAAAGATATAAAAATACCTAGTAAATGTGAGGACACAGGGAAAAGAGCCTAGGTCTTAGGAGAGACCAGTGTTGCTGACTTGATTTTGGACTTCCAGGCTCCAGAGTTGTGAGAAAGTAAATTTCTGTTAATGTTAAAAAAAAAAAAGTTAAATAAAATATCCAGTGAATGAAGTGAAGCCACATGAGTGTTTTTATAACTCCTGTAAGAGAAATTGGTCGTTTTGTTTTTGGAAGGGATTTGGATATTAGGTATAAAAACCTTAAGATTATTTGACTCTCTGATATAATAGAGGTATTCTTTTAAAAAGATTTTTAATTTATTTATCTTTAGAGGAGAAGGGAAGGAAAGAGGGAGAGAAGCATCAGTGTATGGTTGCCTCTCATGCATCCCCTGCTGGGAACTGGCCTGCAATCCAGGCATGTGCCCTGACTGGGAATTGAGCTACGATCCTCTGGTTCGCAGGCCCGCGCTCAGTCCACTGAGCAACACCAGCCAGGGAGATATAATAGAGGTATTCTTGAAGTAAATATTTTAACTGAAAGGATCAGTGTATTATATCTGGTTATCACTATTTCTAATAATAAAATATTGGAAAATTTTGAATTTCTTGATAGAGAATTGGTCAAGTTGATAATGCAGTGGATTAGTAGCTAGTTAATTTTTGTAAGAATATTTTATGATACCAGAAAGTGTAACACTCAGGAAAATAAGTTTTTTAAAGATAGGATATGCCAGGAGTACTAGTTGCCAGAGGCCCAGGGGAAAGGGAATGGGAAGTTGGTGGCTAATGATTTTGGCTTTTTTTTTTTTTAGAATGATGAAAATGTTTTGGCCTTGGCCAGGTATTTCAGTTGGTTATAGCATTGTCCAGATATGAAGATTGCAGACTTGATCCCCTATCAGGGCACATACAAGAATCAACCTGAATGCATAAAAACATGAAACAACAGGTTGATATTTCTCTCCCTCCGCCTCTCTCTAGGATCAATTAAATATTTTGGGATTACACTGTGGTTGTATATACTAAAAACCACTGAAATGTATACTTTAAAGGGGCAAATTTTATGGTATGTGAATTTTATCAATAAAAATACAAACAAAACTAAAATTATGCAAGCTATAAGTCTTCTAAAACTTTTTAAAAGACACTAATTTACCAAATAAAAAAAAAGAAAGGATATGAAACTAGTATGCTTTGATCCAAATTCGTGTTAATAAGCTGATTGAAAATAAAAATATGAGTATGTCAGGTTGTGTTGATTTGCATACGTTCAGGTGTATTGGGGGTAAAACAGGGAGGGGTGGTTCTAAGACCACCTCAAGGTTTGGTAGTTCAGTAGGACTCAGGCCTCAGCATATATAGTTTCCCAACTAATATTTGTTACAGTGAAAGAATATAGAGCACATTCAGCACAGGAAAAATGCGTGTGGGATGAAGTCTGGAGGAAATCAGGTGTAAGCTTCCTGGAGTCTAGTCACATAGGACAGGCTTGCCTCCTTCTGCAGCTAGTTGAGAGAACAAAAATAAAACGTTAAAACTACCACAAGGGGATTTGGGATGGAGGGTGAATTGTCAGTTTTGGAGTTTCCTTAGGGACATGGTAAACAAAGGGTTTTTAAATCAGATCTTTTATCTTCCACTTTTTTAATTAAAATTTTTTTCAATTATAGTTTATTTTTTTTTCTATTCTTGACTTCCACCTCCCCTCAACTTGCTCCTTGAATGTGTTATATGTTCTGACTCCCCCTCTTTCTCTTTTGCCTAACTGATATCTTCTAGGTCTCATTTTAGGTTTTAGAAAGACTTTTTTGAACAAGACTGGTTAGACACAGAAATAGGCTAAGAAGTGGGTGGAGATAGGGGTTTGAGGTCCTGGGACACAAGGACATGATACCACATGCATGAAACATGAGTTAGGTACTCACACATCCTTTGTATTTTGTAAAGGTTAACTACAGTGGTTACAAAGGCTCATAATTGGTTTACTTTTCTGTCATCTTGAATAGATTGCTCTAGAAACAAGGATTCATCTTAGTCTGACTTGACTGTTCATCAGTGGCACAGCATATGCTAATTGACCAATTTTATGAGTATGTATGATGACCTTTGAGAACTTTTTATTGAGGGACATTTTCCAAATATGTATCTTGGAATTAAAAAAATTGCTAGGAGAATGTTAATTCCAGACTCTGTATTCTTACTAATGTTTTCTACCTACCCAGGACCCCGCGGCCAGTCATTGTGGAGCCAATGGAGCAATTTGATGATGAAGATGGCTTGCCAGAGAAACTAATGCAGAAAACTCAACAATATCATAAGTAAGATTTTTATTAATAAAGATACATATATTTTATTCTCACCCGAGGATATTTTTTTCATTGCTTTTTTAGAGGAGAAGGGAGAAATGTCAGTGTGAAAGAGTGGCATCAGTTGGTTCCATCCTGTACTCACGTGGAACAGCCACTGAAACTATAACCTAGGCATGTGCCCTGACCAGGAATCCAACCCAAAACCTTTCAGTTACAGGATGATGTTCCAGCCAACTGAGCCACACTGGCCAGGATGATAAAGATATTTTAGATATGTGCCATCAAGGATATTTATTATATCACATTTGTTTTCCAGTACTGTTGGATTATAAAGTGTTCTGTTTATTCATGTAATATGGTTCTTAGAGTAGCCTGGTCTACATGGAATGCTAGTTTTCTTTGTATATGGCTAAAACATCAGCTGAATACTTAGAAAGGTCTCTACTTTTATAACTAGCAGGGGTGGATAAGTAGGAGAACACTGGCAGTAATATTTATGCTAGAATAACAAAAAGCTAGATATCATGAAAATGTTTATTATGTTCAGGTAGAGATTAAAAAGGAGACTTTTGGGAGGTTGAGTAGGGGAGGTCCTATAGAAATAACTTGGCACAGTTTTATCTCCTAGAGATAAAAAGGAAAAGTAGTCTATTTTCACACTGTTGTATATTATTTTACCAATTGCTTTTCACTCAGTGTGATGCAACTTTTAATGTTAAGCTGCCTGTATGTATAAATTTTAACCACTTATTTATTATAATAAATTGTAACATGAATTGAACAAACTTTGTCCCACTCACCCACTCATCTCTTCCTCCTAACCCCCAAATAGAAGTTAAATTTATGAATGCAAGGCATGTATACTTTTATTGGTGGGGTGGGGATTGTATTCTTATCAGTACTTTCTAATTGAAGCTATGATAGGCAAATATAATTGAAGAATTTCTCTGAATTTTAGGTATTTCCATATGATTTTATTTTTAAAGAACCTTAGATTATTTGTTTGCTCATCATTTATTTAAGAAATATTAAATGTATACAGTGTGCTAGGCACTCTGGTGGGTACTTGAGGTACAGCTGTTAACAGACATGTCTTTATTGAATTTACAGTATAGCAAGGGAAACAAGTATTGATCAAATAACTACAATTATAATAAGTTAGGCCTTTATATTTGGTCCTAGCCAGTTTACTTGGTACATAAAATTTAATAAGTTCTCTGTTTTTACTACTATGCCTAAAAATTACCACTTACAGGGAAAAAAATTATTCTAGGCAGGGCACATTGGATTCATATATTGCATATTGCCTTGTCTAACATTATTTGTTAAATGAATACCAGAAAGGCCTTATTGAAGGTAATAATTAGGGGAGTACAAGTTGTAGCATCCAGTTGCCTAGTTTTGAGTCCTGGTTCCATTGTGTATTTGCGCACATCCTCGGACAGTTTCTTAAACCCAGACTTGTTAAAATTGGCATCATAGTATTGCCTTGAGGCAATTTATGCAGACTATTGAACATTGTAAGGGCTCAGTAAGTGGTATTTATTTTTAATTGTTGTTTTACCATTTAAGCATACATTTCTGTTTGTTTTTTAATATAAACTTAGGGAACGAGAACAGCCACCACGTTTTGCTCAGCCTGGTACGTTTGAATTTGAGTATGCATCTCGATGGAAGGCTCTTGATGAAATGGAGAAGCAGCAGCGTGAGCAGGTTGACAGAAACATCAGAGAAGCCAAAGAGAAGCTGGAGGCAGAAATGGAAGCCGCCAGGCACGAGCACCAGTTAATGCTGATGAGGCAAGGTAAGGTGGGTTCATGTAGATAGGTTAAGATTTCTTTTTCCTGGGGTTCATTTATAGTTCTACAGACATGTATTAAATTCAAGTTGCAAGTTAGGAGTTTAGAGACAGTTGGAACTCAACACATTAGGAAAAAATCTCTCTCTTTTTTGAGAGGATGTTCTTTAAAAAAAAACACACTAAATTCCCCTATATAAGTAGTGTTGTTGGAGGTAATTAAGGTTAAATTTTGCCAGTAGCTAATACATGATTCTGATGGCAAAAAAAAGAGGAAAGCACAATAGGTAATTCTTGGTATGTAGATAATGGCTTAAAGTCACACGTCAAGATGTTTTTTGGCAGAAAGAAGACAAATGCTGTGCATTTAAGATTACTATCATATGCCAAAAGATTACAAATGGATATTCTTTGGCAGAGATAAAGAAAAGATTCATGTATGCTGGTGGATATGTGGATTCAAAAACACTAGATTCTAACATTTTAAACACTTGAGACTGAGCTAATATTTTCTGAGAGCTAATAACAGATAATAGTTTACTATCATTATTACTAGTCAAATACCTAACAACAAATAAGCTGTTTTTTTTTTAAACTTTCTTTTTAAAAGAGATTTTATTTATTTATTTTTAGAGAGAGGGAATGGAGGAGGAAAGGGTGAAAAACATTGATGTTTATGGGAAACAGCAACCAGTTGCCTCTCGCATGCTCCCAACCAGGGACCTGCAACCTAGCTGTGTGCCCTGACTGAGAATCAGACTGGTAACCTTTCAGTTAGAAGGACAGTGCCCAATCCACTGAGCCACACGAGTCAGAGCATGATAAACTGTTTACATATATACCAAAAGCTCACTTCTTGTCTACTTTTTCCCCTTCCTAGGTTTCTTTTTATGCCTGTCCTTATTATTTCTCCCCCTCTCTATTTTTGTTCTTTAATTCTCCAAATCATCTTTTCTGGTTCTTCCTATCACTCATCTTTTGTGCTGTCTGTAATAGTTTGTATTTCTTAAAATAAGTAAGTTTATTTGTGTTATTTTGCTCTTAATTTTTTTGTTTTTGTTTTTTAATCCTCACCCTAGGACATGCTTATAGAGTTTAGAGGGAAGGGAAGGGAGAGAGGAAGACAAACATTGATGTGAGAGAGAAACATCGATTGGTTGCCTTTTGCCTGTGGTCCAGCTGGGGAACAAACCCGCAGTCCAGGCATGTGCCCTGCCTGGGAGTCAGACCTGCGACCTTTTGATTTATAGGAGAGTGCTCCAACAAACTGAACCATGCTGGCCAGGGCTGTTTTTTTTTAAGTTAGCATTTCAGTAAATGTATATCTATTGTTAGTTGGCTGCCCCCAGAGATCAAGGCCCCATAGATGCCTGCCTGGATTTCTGCAGCAGTTTTTAAATACTGGAGCCCATATTTCTTTGAAAGGTGGAAATTTGATCACCACTCAATCTCTGAATCTGTTTGGTAGATTCTCATTTCCTTTAGAATAAAAATCTGGAGGTTTCCCCTTTCCCTGTTCAGTAAATGTTTATTGAACAGTTATGGTCACATCACTGAATAACTATGCTGATGCCATGAAGTTAAAACAGAATCTTGCTCAACAAATAGTAGAAACTAGTCGGATATTTCTTTTAATTTGGACTCTAAACTTAGCAGTTCAATAAGTTTTCTAGTAAAACTTAACTTACTCATACCATGTATTATGTTTAAAGATAAACAAAGTCCTTTGCAGAAAATTTGAAAATTGTTACCTAAGGTAAAATCAGGAATTATTGGCTGGTTAGAGCTGAAAGAGAGAGCTTCAAGTTCATGTAGTCTGGTTGTTTTGTGGTTTTAAAATTTTGTTACATTCTTTCCCAGGATAAACTGGGAAATTAAAAAAAAAACAACTTTAGTTTCTTAGGCCCCATGATTGCCCTAGCAGTTTGGTTTGATAAGGATTGTTCTCTGCTAGGCCCTTTGCCTCTTTATTTTCCCACTACCTACAGTTATGACATGGCTAGGAAATAACAAGTTGAAAGCATTGAAAATATTTTGTTGCTGCTACTGACAGTGGTATGTCATTACTTCAACATGTACTTAATGTTAGTTGTAGGAGATGCTGTTTGAGGTACTTGGGGTTTATTGACGACAAAGAACAGTATTTCTTTTTTTGCCTCAAAGAGCTTGTGAGGTCTTAGAAAAGTTTGCCTCACCCCTAAGAGTATTTTGACTTCTGAAGGATAGTAATTTTGCAGTTATTTCCCATGAACTTTTATTTTATTGTTTTATTTGGTGTTTGTTTATAACCCCTGATGATAATATTTTGGTTTATAATATTAGAAAAGCACATTGCTTAATGCACCCCACTCTGTGCTTCTGGGTTTTCTTCTAATGAAGTACATCTTGTATTTCAGCAAAGGTTGCAGGTGATAAATTCTTTTCATTGTTATTGTAAAAAAAAATTACAGTTTTTTCTTTTTTGATCTTAAAATTATGTATTTCAGCCCTGGCTGGTGTAGCTCAGTGGATTGAGTGCAGGCCTGCAAACCAACCAACCACAGTTCGATTCCCAGTCAAGGGCACATGCCTGGATTGCAGACCAGTTCCCAGCAGGGGATGCATGAGAGGCAACCATACATTGATATTTCTCTCCCTTTCCCTTTCCCTTCCCCTCTAAAGATAAATAAATACAATCTTTAAAAAAATTATGTATTCATCTAACAATTCTAAGGATGTACTCAGATGAGTGAAGGACTTTAGGTAATTTTAGTTTCGTGGGTTTTCAGAAACACAGGGCTCTCCACCTGACCTATTACAGGAGAAAACTCATCTAACAGTACAAAAAAAATTCTTCCTTCTGCACCTTCTGTTTTCTGTGGGAGTCACTTTTTCTTCTGTATTTGAATTTGTTTTCCTTTTTTTTTTTTTTTTTAGAGACGGGGGTGGTCAGTAAAGTAAGGGGGAGAGAAACATAGATTTGTTGTTTCACTTATTTATGCATTCATTGGTTGATTCTTGTATGTGCCCTTACTGAGGATGGAATCCTCTACCTTGGAGTATCTGGACTACTCTGTGACCAAGTGAGCTAGCTACCTGACCAGGGCCTCTTTTATATCTTTTTTTGTGTGTTTCTTTAATCCTCACCAGTGGGTATGTTTATTGACTTTAGAGAGAGAAGAATGTGGAGGGTTGGGGAGAGAAAGACGAGAGGAAGGATTGGAGGGAGAACATTGATGTGAGAGAAAAACATCGATTGGTTGCCTCCAGCATGTGCCCTCACCAGTGTTTGAACCTGCAACCTATGCATGTTCCCTGACCAGGAATCAAACCTGTAGCCTTTTGGTGTATTGGCTGATGCTCTAGTCAACTGGGCCACCCAGCCATGGCCTCTTGTATATATTTTTTAAAGATTTTATTTACTTATTTTTAGAGACAGGGAAACGGAGGGAGAAAAACAGGGAGAGAAACATCTGTATGAGAGAGAAACATTGATCTGTTGCCTCTCTTAGCGCCCCTTCCAGGCGCCCCTTCCAGGTACCAAACCAGCAACATAGGCATGTGCCCTGACAAAAATAAAACTGGTAACCTTCTGCTTTGTGGGACAGTGCCCAACCAACTCAGCCAGACCAGTCAGGGCTTTTGTATCTTTTAATGGAAAAAAATTTTTGCACATCTTGGTAGATGTGTGTATTTATAACAACAAAAAAACCCCTTTTGATCTTTTTCTGCATCTTGCTTATTTTAGTTTCTACATAGGTCCAGCACAAATAATGCCCCTTTATTTTATTACCAAATCATAAGTATATAATTCTGTAACATAACAATATCACACTCAAGCACACCATGTGACATTTTAGGTGAAGTGTTCAAATCAAAACTATAAATTATTACACACATATTTATAACCCTACCAACCACACTTCAAGCAGGCATTACTTCTGCTAGACCCTGTATAAATCTGACTCAATTTTTAGGTAGCTGCACTATATTCTGTGAAATAGCTGTAATTAATTTGACTCATCCTCCCCTGATTGATATCTAATTCTGTTTCCAGTTTGTTAGAGAAAGTAATGCTGCAATGAATATTTATGTATATGTCTTAGCAAATTTTTGTAAATGTTGATTCTTGTTGGACACACCAGCACTTTTAATAATTGCTTCATTTATACTCTGTTTAGTTTTTTCTAGATCCAAATCCCATTTACTCATTACAAGTTATGTTTTCTTTCTGTGTCTGTGTTTGGTCATTAGTAGGCAGTTCCTGAATTTTCCTGTTATTTTTGTGTTCCCTTTGTTGAGTAATTATAAAACTCTGAGTGGATAATATTAACTCTGACATTAATTTTGCTGTTATCCACTCTCGCATCACTGAATTTTTTAAATAATATTATTCTTTATGAGTGCCTTTGTACTGATAAATCAAGTAATAGAAATATATTTATTTTCTCTAAATGATACCTTTTGATTCTTGGTTACCAAAGAAAAACGAACAAGGAAATAGGCATATTCACCTTTCTTTTGATCCCTTCAGCATTTATTAATTCTGCTTCCAGTTTGTCTGGATTTATGACACTGAGTTAATTTTTTAAAGTATGAAGCTAGTTTTACTTATTTTTTGGTGAGAACATTTAAGTTCTAATCTCTGTAACTTTCAGTTATATAGTACAGTGTTATCAACTATAGTTGTCACTATGTTATACATTGGTTCTGCATACTTCATTCATCTTTAACTGGTGCCTTTTCACCAATCTCTCCCTGTTTCCCTCTCAGCCCCTGGCATCCATATTTCTACTTTACTATTTCTGTGGGTTTGACTTTTTTTTTGATTCCAGGTGTAAGTTACACCATGCAGTATTTGTTTTTCTCTGGCTTACTTCACTGAGCATAACGCCCTAAGAGTTCATGCATGTTGTTTTAAATGGCAGGATATCAGAATTTACAAAAATTTGCTAACACACCTGTATTTCTCATGGCTGAATAATAATCCATTGTATATATGGCTGTATGTTTTTGTAAATATGTTG